ATAGGAAGGGGGCGGCAGTATCGGTGACAGGACGAGCAGGCAGATCCCCTGCGTGAGAACTTCTGAAGATGGATGAGGCTGACTTGGGAGGAAGCTTAGTTAATAATTAACCAGAAAAACTTGAATACATGGGGTAGTTGAATTCTAGAAAGAGATATATTCAGCACTCCGAGGGGAAACCAAGTCAATGTATCAGCAAACAAGGACTTATAATCAATACTCTGATGTGTAGGCAGACACTCAGTAATGAACCAACATAGACTTAATCCCCCAACTGTGTTGAGCTTTGTGTGCTAATTCTGACTTGGGTTCACTCTCTTCGCTCTTGCCAACATCATTGTCACAACAGGAAACTCTTTGTCACAATAAAAAATCCATAAAGATATTTTATGCTTTCCTCCAAGCGTCAAACATCAGACAAATTTGTCATACATTTTTTTCAAATAGTGGAGCAGCTTCAACCTCAAGCCTAGGACAGCAAAGACTATGTGGAAAGGGTAAGAGTTAAATGCATTTCTCAGGAGTGGGTGGAGACCAAAACAAAGCTAGAAGGAGATTCAATATTGGACTAACAGATTCAATGGACACAAAAAGGAAAGCTCGTTTTGCAAAGTGGTAAACCATGGTAACTTTAAGTCTGAGGATATGATGCGTTTATCTTTTCTTTTTTTTTGTTGCCCCTTAGTGGCTACATTTTAAAAATGTCAAGTCAACCGTTTCTTTACAAAAGTGCAACGGTTCGATGTAGCTCTCTGCTGAGCCATTACCCTTCATTCCTTATTTTAGTTGAGATAATGGAGCAGCTGGGCAAATAACACTTGCTACAATCATAATACAAGCAAATTGGGACAATGGGATTATTTCGCCTCTAATTCTTGAAAAGCAATGAACGGATGCCGAGCATTGGACCCAGACTTTAGGTACAAGTAGGTTGACTCCTACGTCAGAATTGGGGGGTGGGGTTGGAAGGCTTGGTGTCACTCTTGTGGAGGAAGGGGTGTAGAAATAGGTGGGGGTGTTGATCCTGAAGAGTGTGTGATTGAGGTGCTGTGGCAGGCGATTTGCTCTGGAGGGGAGGACTGAGGGAGGAGCCGACATGGCCTGGCTGCCCCATGAGCACACAACCACACATCCACTCAATCCAAAACACTCACAGGGATCAGAGACACTCAAGATAGAGACATCACCTCTCTGCCCTCCTATCCTCTTTGCTTTTTTGGACCTTGAAGGAGCTGAAGCTCGAGATCTAAAAAAAGAGTTCCTCCCATCTACGGATTGTTTTTCACACTTCACTCGGCTTATAGTTTATATTCCAAAGGCTGAGACATTGGGGGAATACTTCCAGGCTGAATGGGATCTGGATCTGATTAAAGTTTGGACCCTTTTAGCTCGATGCTTTGGTGATGTAGCTAAGAACTTGAGTGCTGTGTGACCCGAGGATTGTGGATGTGAATGAGTGCTCCATATGAAGACAGAAAGAGGGATACTTTTAACCCTAAAGGTGAGAGGAAAACAGATGAGATTGAATTTCTTAAGTAATCTAACGGTTAAAATGTTTTCGTGTTGCTATATTTTCATACAGTGCATGTGTATTTGTGTAGGGCTTGCATCTTGTGTCTGTGTGTACAGACTATGTTTTTGTGTGTCTGTGCAGGTGGTCTAACTCCAGCTGTTTTAAGTCTCCTGTGCACCCCCTGACACCCATTTGGCCTTAAAATAACACTCTTAGCCAGTCAAAGAGCGATGACCTCGGCCTTTGAAGTCTGCTAGTTAATGGTTTTTCTAAAGAAAAATCCTGTGACGTTTCAAAAATTCTTTTTTTTTCCACAAGCTTGATTTGAGGGAATTTGATACTGTGAACGAAATCTGTTCAAGTTAAGCTCAGTATGTATAGTTTGCGGAGGTTGTGTACATTTGAAACAACACTTGTTTGACTTACTAATTCCTCAGTGAAGGAGAGTCCCTTTCAGTGTCAGTTAAGGTGAGGGAGGCACACATGCTTAACGGTTAGCCGGGCTACGTCAGGCCCAGTGTTTACACAAGACCCAATGTTGTGACTCCCTTAAACGCCTTTTTCAAAAAAAAAAAAGTATCCCTTTTGACCCCGTTAACCTCCCCCTGTCAGCGTCCACCGCTGCCTGGGTTTAAAGAAGGAATGGTCGGACATTTTGTTTTTGTTTTTGACAAAGACAGCCATTGTGTTATTGCCAACGAGTGACATGGTGTAATGTGAGTTGATGTGTACGTTGGCTCAGGAATCCGCAGTCACCGTTCCCCTGGTAGCTTTTTGGGATGAGAGGGAGGAGAGCTGAAGGGAAGGAATCATAAGAGTGGCTAATGACCGGATATTTAAAATACTGGAATCGTGTTTTTTTGTTTCATTGATTGCCTTTTTGATAATTCTTGTTTTCAGTACTTGACCATGTCTTGATTAGTTTTGGAATTCTGCTCGGTTGAAACTCAACTGTGGTTTTGGGAAATTCTGATAAGCATTTTTCTTAAACTATTTTCTATCCATAAAGGTATTAACAAAAGAAAACTTTTCAGTAATGAAAGTAATTCTACCATTGTATTAGTTTTTTAATCTAATACCTGGTCAAACATATTATATTGGGCATCCAAAAAACAACCACAGTGCCAGGGAACTGAGGCTCAAAGTTCTCTATATGTAAAAAATGAACAACTCCATCTAATTGTATCACTTACTGGTCTTAACCAGGTTAGACAGGATTAAGTGAAATGGGTAAAGAAAAGCTTCTGAGTGATAACATTATCTATCCCACCATAAAACCTGATAGATTAGTCACTGAAGAACAAAGTAACAGTCACATACCTCTTTGTTGTGTGATAAGAGCTTTGGTTTGACTTTAACTACATTTCTAATCTGTTTAATTCGGTGTTTTGAGGCCCTGGGCTTCTTTCAACTGTATGCTAATTATGGGAATGCTAAGACCGTATTGTTTTTTTTGGGGTTCATACATGATGTGAGGCAGGAGACCCTCAGGGTGAACTGGCGTCTGGAGCTGGATGACGACTTTTGTATTGTGAGTTTAGTTGCAGATGACTTTTGACCTTAGAGGGGGCTTCAGTGAGAACATTGTTCTTACAAAGTTAAGACTGTAGACTCTCCAAAACCACTATTAACATAACTAGAATATCTGTTTTAAAGCTGTTTTTTCAAATATGATAAGGGACTGTATACATATTATTAGGAGGGGGCAGAAGAGGGGGCTTTTTTTTTTGGTTGTCTGATTTGTTTTTTCTCTTAAGTGGAGGATTTAAAGGCTATCCATGCCCTTAGAATAATATATTTTTTTATTTTATCTACACCTTTTTTGTGCTAATTAATTATCAAAAAAAAACATGAACAGATCACCTATTTTGTATTCATAGTCACTGGTAAAAAAAAAATCTTTAGAAGCTCTTGTTTCAAAAGAAGAGAGACTGAAAATTTTTAGCAGCATACCATTCACCTACAGCTTTGTTTTTCATAGTTTGGGCATTTACTCATTTCACTCCCAATTTTTTGGACTAACCAGTTATCTTTGGCCAACTTAAAACAAATGGCTTCCAATCAGGGTTGATTGAAAGTTAATCATAACAATGGCCGTACTTTTTTAAATACATTAATTAAAAAACAAGCTCAACCATTTTCCTCCATCCCAGTTATTTTCATACAGTCCCTAAGAATCTGATTATCACCTGGCACAAGCATTGTTCCAAATGCGTTGAAGTGATTGCTCTACAGTCACAGTTAACAAGCACAGTGTCGTCAGTTAAAGCCATTAAGACCCTAATGTCCCTCATAGTGTTGCTTATGTGTGAAAGATCAAACCTTTGTGAAGTTTGGAGAGCTTGTGTGAATTTAACGACTGTTTTCACCCAAACAAGATCTATTCCTGAAAATATTTGCATGTCAATGAGGCAGAGCAGGGCAGATTGCAAGTGGCCTTTTCAACACTTTCAGCATTATCAGGCTGAGAGGCTTCTGATGGCATGGCTGCTTAGATAAGAGGGCTACTGCTGAATGTGGCAGACACACAGTGACAAGACTGACTAATCCCTATATTTATATATAACAGCACTTGTTATCAACTTACAAAGAGGGAGGAAAATATATTCAGAAAAAGAGCTTGAGGTGGGCGTATGCAGATTGTTTCGAAGGCTGATCACATGCATCTCTTAAATGGAACTGTAGCCACCTTTCTTTTTATTCCTTTTGGCATTTTCCTCAGATTATAGTTGTCCTTTTTTGGTACAGTGATTCCCTGGTAATAGCTCTAAATCGCTGCCCCATCTTAAAGTGGTTGCTGCTAGTACATGAATCATAACCTTTAGTACTTTGCGCCACATTGGATAAGAGCAACAGATGCTTGGTGGGGAACAGCTGGAATGTTAAAGCATTAAAATCCTAACTTGAAAGAACTGTAAAAAGAATTACACAGAATGTACCTTCACAGTTAAAGGTCTCTAGGATCTTAAATTGGATGCAAATGCACATATGGGTACCCTGTTTCCTTCATGCTATGAGATATGTGTTGGATAACGCTGGCTGAAGTCGTTAATGGTTGTTAAATAAGTGCCTAATATGGAAAATTCTTCTGTTTTTCCACTATATGTCACTCCAAGTTTGTCATTAGATCTCTTTGAAGGTTGACAAGTAGTTTTATGGAATCCTAGAAGATGTAATTCTGCAAAGAAGGAATGAGGTATAACATAACTGCAATAGTGTAGAAAAGAAACATATTAGTTGACTCCAGAGTGTGATTTGTCAAGGAATCCAAGGAAAAAAGGTTGTGAAATACTGATCTAACAAATGGATTGTAATCATGTGAAAATAAACAGGAAATATTTTTTTGGGGGGGAAAAAAATCAGCCTTGTCTTGGCCAGTTACTTTGCCATTTTATGACTAAACAGAGGGGGGGGGATACAAAAAATAGATACAGACAAAGGTTGTTTTTTATGATTTTGATTACTAATCCTCCCTTTTGATCCACAGCACCCCTGTGTGATGAACCTGGAGCGAAGTGAAAGAGGGGAGCGTCCCTCTGCTCGAGGCCTGGAGATGGACCCTCGCACTGTGGGGAAGATGGGGAAGACGAGCGTGGGCTTCCAGAGGAGCTCCACCTCGGATGACGACTCTGGTTGTGCGCTGGAGGAGTACGCGTGGGTGCCACCAGGACTCAGACCTGAGCAGGTAGAGGACCTCAGCCTGTTTCAAGCCTAATTTTGAATCTACTATTAAATCTACTAAAGTAAAATCCAAGCACAAATTACTTGGAGCCAAAAAAAAAACCATGTATCGCACACTACAGTCGGAGTGGTGAAAGAGGGATGAGTGTGTAAACCTGTTTGTTAACAGCAAGGGTGCTTTTAGTTCAAACAAGGTCATGTGTACAGACACTCTGTTCTCTGTGCCTTTCTAACAGATTAGTAGTACCACATGCTGTCGACCAACATCTGGCTGTGGATTTTTTTTTTTTTTCAATTTCACTTTTGTGCATTTAGGATACAGATGTTCTGCGACATTCAGTAAGCATTTTCTACGTTGAAAGGTGTGTTTCTATTATCTGGCTGTTACTCATGTTTGGAGAGTTTTCACAGTCACAGAGCCGGTTACTGGATTTAGATTGACATGTTTGCCCCGCCCGCAGTGTAACAGAATAATGACACACAAAACAGCAGTCATCCTCCACAGATATCCAGCTGCTCTCTCTTCAGCCTGATCTAATGGAGAAGATGAGAAGCCTCCTTTCCTCCTCTCCTCTGTTGTCCTCTTCACTGCTCCCTTCATCTCAAGCTGTCTGATATCACTGCTGGCCTCCTGGCTGCACTATGTCTTAACTATTGACGTCAAAAAAGTGGCCATGAATAAACAAGAAAATGACTTCGATTTCAAATGAGATCTTTCTAATAAAGTTGTTTAATGTCTTTGCCTGCAGGTGCAGATGTATTTCTCCTGTCTACCAGAGGACAAGGTGCCGTATGTGAACAGCCCCGGAGAGAAGCACCGGATCCGACAACTCCTCTACCAACTGCCGCCGCACGACAATGAGGTAGAGAGAATGACCTCGAGACACTAGCCTTTCTCACACGTGCACAAGATCTTTTGTGAAATCCCCTGAGAAACTGAGAGTTGCAAGCAGATCGACATTGCTGACCGAGATTTAATTGTAAGTTTAGGATTGTGTTTGAAATCAAGAAACCTAAAGGGGTTCATGTGTGGTTTACAGGTGGGTGAAGTGTCAGTTGAAGTGGAACACTGCTGACGTGAGCTTTATGAAAGTGTGAATTATGGAATGAACAGTGTTAGATGCTTGAGTTCGAGAAGCTACAGAGGTTATTTTGCAGTTTGAGGGTAAAGACCTGGAGGGCGAGCACACTAACAAATACAATGTTTACTTATTCCACTTCCACTGATTTCAACTACTTTCTTCTTAATCAGTTCAACAGACACTGTTTAAGAGCTTCAACTTCAGTAACTACCATAAAACTAAAGCTTTTACACTTTAAGCCATTTTCATTGATCTTTGTGTATGAGCACATGCACATCTTCCTCAGAATTAACAAGATATTTCAAACTTAACGCTGCCTCAACTTAACTAAGGCTGACAGCTGAGCAAAGCCAAAACAAATTGCCTCTCTTGTAAAACTACAATGGCTACATTCCCTCAAACATTTGACAAAGAAATCCGTCTTTTGACAGTAAAGCACATGCCAGCCTCTTCTGTAGAACAGCTTTATGGTCTGTAAACCAGCACTCCTTTCACATCTGTGTTAATAGAGTTTACATTTGGAGATATGGTGGAGGGGTTATCACCAGGGGGTAGGATGGGAGCGGCCACTGGCTTACAGAGGTGGTCTCTGTACACACACACACACACATGGAAGACACACAATAGGGACTCACATGTACACAGTGTTTGACTGAGCGGTTTTATGATGTTTGTCGGCGGACCTGGTGGTCGACGAGGCAAACTGCCACAGGATTCCATGCGTAACTGTTGTTCAGAGGTATAAGCAGTTTGTGTGTGTTGTGGGCGTGAAAGGTAGAGACAGAGACAGTGTGTGAGCTCGCACGTCATCAATGTTTAGTGTTGTTTAGAGAACAACCGAGCTAGATGTTAGGATAGCTGGCGGTCTTTTATCTGGGGCTTCATCCCTGACTCTAAACACGGCATTCTTTCATTGACTTTTGTTGGATTTAGCTATTTTAGGATTAAGTCTAAGTAGGTGAATCAGGAAACAGAGAAAGGAAAGGGTATCTAAACATCCCTAATGAAATATGGACCATCACCAGTAGTTGGTGGATGATTTTCCGCCCTATTTCCCCCTTTCCAAAAATCATCCAAAAAATCATCCTCTTCTGTTCTTTCAGTTTTTCAATGAATCTCTCTCTCTTTGTCTTATTTACTTTATCAGCTGCGTTACTGCCACTCTCTCAGCGAAGAGGAAAAGAGGGAGCTCCATATGTTCAGCGCCCAGAGGAAGAGAGAGGCACTTGGGAGAGGAACACCCAAGATCCTGCCCCGGGCTCTGCAACACACACGCTGTGAAAATGTAGGTTCCCCATGTGGATACCCATGAGCGCACAAGCACACACACACACACACACACACACACACACACACACACACACACACACACACACACACACACACACACACACACACACACACACACACACACAATGCATATGCACACTTGCATCATTAAGTACTCACAAAGGTAAGCTATTTCTTGCAACGAAAAACAACTTGTGGGTCTTAAACGTATTTAAAACACCAACAGCCAACACCAGCTATCCCATCACAAGACAAGGCAGCTCAAGGCACAATCCTTATTGGCTAATTAATCATGGACACAAACCTCCTCATTCATTAGGGTAAGGGGGGAAGTGGGGAAATTGGAAGGCTCACGCTCAAGTCGAGCGGAGAAGCCAGTTCCTTGCAAGGAATTCAGCAAATTTCCTGCCACCCATCACCATCTCAGCATGACAGCAAAAAAATAAAAATAAAATAACAAGTTAACGGTGACTTCTTTCTTACAGTCTTAAAATCCAACTTTTTCTTAACAAGTCACAGTATGTGGCACATTATTCCACATCAAATAGTATAATTAGATCCATCTAAACTCAGGACATGCAGCTGGTTTTGAAACCTCCTCTGGAGAAGAGATGGCAAGTTTCCACATCTGTCTCGGAAATTGTTGGAGAGTTATAAGCTTAAAATATAGATGTATCCACTGGTACAACATAAAAAGAAACTATTTTTTTCTTTCAGCAATAATTTGATGGAATCTTGACTTTCAGGAGAATATATATCTAAGTCGTACCTTGACATTGGGGTCACTTTGCACTTGAACATTTCAGCACTTAAAGAAATAGTAGGTCCTGCCTTGCAATTCCTACATTTGATTCTATGCTGAAATTTTAAACAACATCCAGTGCTATTACAGCCGTCCTTGACATTATTTCGGAAACATTTCCTTTCTATGCAACAACATCAATATTAGTGTTATGTGGCTTCTGACAAACTGAGCCCTGACCATTGAGTAAACCTCTTCCAGGCATCCAGGAAAGCAGGCAAGCCACGCTAATTCCCCCGGAAAGGCAGTCCATCAACACCCAAAAACAGATGCTACCACAGGGATGCAAGGTCACATAGGAACAGCGATGAACACACACATTCATTAGTACCCTGAACATGCATGCATGTCCATAAATACTCTACAAACACATATTTTCACCAGCTCAGTCATCCATACAGGCACACCTAAGCACATTCATACAATCTTGCAAACATTTTTACACATTCTGCACATGCTCACGAGTTTGAAAGGATATATCATGAATACGTGGGTGCACACACACACACACATATCAAGCAACAATTGTACAAACATTCACACACAATTTGTCAGGATCCTGTTTCCTGGTGCTGTACTCCAAGGGACACACAACACCTCCGTATCCAAGGCCTCTATCTGTCCACCCTGGTAATAATGGTTAACAGCTGGTCACGCTATCCCATAGCTGCATATATGTGTCATAGCTCTGCTGGGTTATATTAAGACTTTTGATTGCAGGTTCTGACATGCTTTGACAATCTGTGTGGAGATATGTGACTTTTCTGACTTAGGTCCAAGGACAGTGTATTCAGTTGAAGCTCACAGAATGTAAATGCTGCCCATTTCCACAGCAACACTCAATGAATAAATGCTGACCTTTAAACCAAAGTGAAAAAGCAACCGTTTGATACATAGATAAGTGAATGTGACTTAGCATTGGTCCATTGGCCCCTATCTTTATAAAAAGAGTTTTAGTCAGTAAGACAGTGGGTTTAGTTGTGACAATAGCTGTCTATAATTTTTTAATAGTATTTGTTTTTCCTTACACAGATTAACTTCAGTTTCCATGTTATGTAGTGGTGCTGTATTTCTGCTATAATTGACATCACTGTAGGATACACTGATGTATTTGAAAGAGCTCACTTTACTTTGGCATTTACATTATGATCACCTGTTGTTTGGCCTCTGTTGTTTTAGCATCACTGAAGTGTGATACATCAGCAGATATGTGACACATTTTTAAAAATTATGTCTATAATCCATCTTTTGTCTATGACACATTCGTCATGTGTCATAGGTGTCGTGTGCCTGCAGATCTATTTTAGAATGTCATTCCATTATGTGATAGTCTGTTTATCACATGTATGTTTATCTCAATGGTTTAATTACTTTGGAAACATACTTAACACCAGATCTACTATTAACAAATAACAAGCAATGGTGTGGTAAATGGCATAACAAGAGGTCTGGAAATATAAATCTCATAGCCCATCTCGTTTTATTTGATTATCAGTGTGCCGGTGGTATCAACGGAGGGGAGATGGCAATTTTTGCCTCCAGAGCTGGGCCGAGCCCCTGCTGGCACCCAGCATGCTTTGTGTGTTCCACGTGTCAAGAGCTTCTGGTGGATCTGATCTATTTCTCCCAAAATGGCAAGATCCTCTGCGGAAGACACCATGCTGAGCTTCTCAAACCTCGATGCTCTTCTTGTGATGAGGTAAAATGCATTAATAGTAGCCATGGCAAAGCCATTACCAAGTCAATAGAGTTCCAAAGAATTAACAGTGGTATGTTTTCATGTTTCCCATTAGATCATCTTTGCGGATGAGTGCACTGAAGCAGAGGGTCGTCACTGGCACATGAAGCACTTTGCCTGTTTCGAGTGTGAAACAATGCTTGGTGGGCAGCGCTACATCATGAAAGATGGGAGGCCATTCTGCTGTGGCTGCTTTGAGTCACTGTATGCAGAGTATTGCGAGGCCTGTGGTGAAAATATTGGTGAGTTTTTATTTGTTAGGTGCTGGAAGAGCATTTCTGCTTTTTAATCCATCTTGCAGAATTAAAATAAATAACTAAACTTTTTATGCCAAGTTAGATCTTCCTGATGTATTTCTTCGACTATTTATCAAACTACTTAATGCTAATTTTATAATTTATTCTCAGGTGTAGACCATGCCCAGATGACCTATGAAGGTGTACACTGGCACGCCACAGATCAGTGCTTTTGTTGTGCCCAGTGCAAGACATCATTGCTGGGCTGTCCCTTCCTTCCAAAGCAGGGTCACATCTATTGCTCAAAGGCATGCAGCCAGGGGGAAGATATCCATGCATCAGACTCATCTGATTCTGCCTTCCAGTCCGCCCGGTCTCGTGAATCCCGGCGTAGTGTCCGCATGGGGAAGAGTAGCAGGCCTGCTGAACAGTGGAGACAGTCGCAGGTGCTTAACTCCGCTGCCACCGTCTCCTCGCTTGAGTTTAAGTTTGGAGATGGAGAGCGAGATGGACATGCTGATTGTGACATTGGAATTGTAGGGCGCAAACTGGCCCATCTAGGCTTGGAGGAGGAGAGATTCTGGAGGGATCGGGAGGAACAGGATGCTGGTGGAGAGGAGGATCCAGAGGAGTGGGCCCAGCATGATGACTATATGACCCAGCTCCTGCTCAAGTTTGGTGACCATGGGATGTTACACCAACTTCAACAGCCATCCCTTAAATCTCCTAGCCCGAGCAGTGACAGAAACAGGATAATTAGTGTCTCTGATCCCTGGCTTAAGCCTGACAGTACATCCATGAGGGTAACAGCCTCCTCTCCCACCCCTGCAAGTCCTACCCAGAGCCAGATTTCCAGTCAGTCTCGAGCCAACAGCCTTAGCCCTGGACTAATGAGCAAGAAGAACCTGCCTGAAATGTACTGGGCACAATCCCAGGACGGGATGGGAGACTCAGCCTACGGGAGTCACCCAGGTCCTGCCAGTGCAAGAAAGATTCAAGAGCTAGAGTTAGACCAGGATCAGGACCAATCTGGGACAGGGAGACAGGCCTTCTGGTCAGACAACAGGCAGTGGTATGATGACTCCCTCGAGTGTATTGCTGACGAGCTGAGGAGAGTTGGACAGGGTGCTGGAGACTCCATGGACTCCCTGGCACTTTCAAACATCACTGGTAATTAGACCATTAGTTCCTATGTTTTCAGTTGAATAATTACCTTTCCTTTTGTATCAAACAGCTGTTAAATATATATTTCTCCTATTGCTTTCTCTAGGTGCATCAGTGGATGGAGAATGCAGGGACAGACCTATAGTCTACACCCTTGCCATGCAGGATCCTTTGGTGGCAGATGACTGCGAGAAGATGAGCAACATGGGAACCTTTAATTCCTCTCATCTTCACCACAGTGCCAACTCTCTAATCCTAAATATGGAGAAGGGAGACGAAGAGGAGTTAGCATTGGCAATGCGGGGAGGCACAACAGGAGGACTTACCCCATTGTCCCCACAATCAGAAGGTCTCCCTTCCTCCTTTGTCCATGCCCCAGCTCTGAGAAGGAGCAAGTCTCAATCCAGGCCTCCTCAAATGGTCAAGTTCTCAGAAGATACAGTGGACAATGGATATAATGATGGGTTTGATGTCAATATTAGAAGACATCCTATGAGTGAGAAGCCACAGCGTAGGGTATTCTGCCCCGATGAAACAGGCAGAGATAGAGGCCGCCCAGCGAGCCACCATGGACGTAGCAGGCAGCATCACAACCATCATGGCCAAGGCCGTCACCACAAGGGCCGCAAGACACGATCAGACAACAACCTTCACATGGTTCCTTTGGAGAAAGTACAGAGGCCCTTTGAGCACCAACAGCAAGGTCTGGCAAACCCCCTTTGTAATCCAATGCTGCTACAGAATCCAGCACACAGACTTCCCATGGCCTATTCCCAGTCAAGGTCCGACTTTACGCCTCAGGGTGCAGTTCAAGGAAACCCACACGTTGAACATTACATGGGTCTTTACAGAGACGAAGACGACTGTTGCTCTACCTGCTCTTCCTCATCATCGGACTCTGAAGAGGAGGGCTATTTTCTTGGTCAGCCAATCCCTCAACCAAGAGCAGTTGGGCGCTACTATGCTGAGGACTACCCAACAAGGGTTACAGCCATCTCTTCACAATTCCATGGCTCACAGACTGGTCGCAGAAAGGGTCATCGTTCCAAAAACTGTATAATTTCTTAACAGCTCAGAGTGTATTTACATTATTATCTGCACTACACTGAGCAATATTGATCTTCTTTTCGATGGACATTTAGCAGATGAATCCAAGTTTGAAAAGGATGTCATACTCCACCTTGTAAAGTGTCCTTGGGTCCATTGAAAGGCGCTTTAAAAATTTGATTTATTGTTGTTGTTATTATTAAAACAGCCCATGTCACCCTAACAGAAGGTCTGTAGCCAAATGTCAAGATGCATATCATCTTTAAGGCCTAAATCTACTGAAAAACAGATAAATGCCTACTGTTAGGAAAGCAAGGAAATGTGGTCTCTTTGTCAGGTCGTTTTTTGTGTGTGTGCGCAAATCAGGGCATAAATACTCGGCCTTACAAACCTTAGCACTATTAAGATAAATGGACTGGAACATTTTGAATAATTATGCCCAGAGTTGGTAATGCCACAACAACTTTTTCTTCTATTTCAGCATTTGACTTCAAGTCTTTTTTAAATGTGCGTTTAGTTAAACGTTTTGCAGCAATATCTGTGTGCAATAAAATGGCAACATAATGTACACAGAGCCTGATAAAGTAGGAAATTAAAAAGAACCAAATAATTATTTAATTCATAATAGTACAAAATGATTATGTATATACTAAGTTAAGATTTTCATACTGGTATTTTTTATATCTTTGGTTTAAATAATTGATTTTTGAAGTGTATAAGAAAAAGCAACTGTTAAGGTAACCCAATAGACCTCTTCAACAGTTATGAGGAACAGCAAAGATGCCACTTCATCAACTGTGTTGTTCACAGCAAAGTGCCATGTTACTTTGTAACAATGTTTATAATAAATGTTTATAATAACATGCAGTATATTCCAAAATGCTCACTTTGTGTAGAAAATGCAAATGGCAGTTACATTTAAATGTTACTGTATTCAGCTGTACTGCTCACTACCCTGACATAACCAGCTAAATGCTTTGTGATGTAAAAAGACGCTTGTAATAAATATTTTCCCCCCTTAAAACGGATGTTATTTTCTTACCTTTTTTGCCAGACACAATCGTCTATAACCCTTGGGTTGAGTGATGTTTTTTTTTGAAGGTTAGAGGGTATAAGTCAGTGCTGCACTCATTTGAAAAGTTGTCTAAAATTATATGGTAATGCAAATCTTTTTTTTTTTTTTTTTATAATTTATACTTTATTGATTTTTATAACAACATTATAACGGCAAACAGATTAAAAGGGAACAACAAAACAGGCAGGAAACATAATAGACAATAAATGGATGACAGAAATTAGCTACAACGATGCAGAAAGTATCAACAGTGCATCACCAGAAGGAGGGCATATGACATGTGCTTGCAAACAAACAAAAGTCAATCAACACCCTGGCAGTGATGTGTTGCGTTCTCCTGATATAAACTGGATAAAATTGTCCCATTTCTCCTTAGAAATGTATTTTTTCCAGTTCAGCTTTCCAAGCATATTCTCACAAGCAGCTATTGTCATCATTTCTTTTTTCCACATTTTCAGTGTTGGAGTTCTTGATTCTTTCCAAAATCTAAGAATTAGCCGAGCACATGTTGTTAAGCCAGTTGTTAATACTTTAAATGAGTATTTGCTTAAATAGGGTACTAAACCTTTATCCCCCAGGAGACAAAGCTGAGGTGATCTGGGAAGTTGGCATCCCAACCAGTCCTCCATAAGTGCTAAAACATGGTTCCATAATGGGAAAATCATTCGGCATTCCCATAAGGCATGATTATATGTACCACATTCTGATTTACATTTCCAACACGAACTACTTTGGATTAAACCCATACTATTAAGTCTTGCAGGGGTGTAATAATATCTATTCAGTATTTTATATTGAATAAATTTGCCTCTCGCTTCTCTGATATACTTCCCATTCTGTAAAAGAATCCTCTCCCACATCTCCTCCTTCAGCGTGTATCCCAAATCTTTTTCCTAAATCCTCTGAAGATTTTTACCTTTATTATTGTTTAACCATGGACACATTTCATACCACTTTGAGGCTTTAAGGAACATTACCGGTGGTTAGAAGTATTGCTCGATTGTGTTTTTACCCTTAAAAATGCATATTTTTGGTTAGTTGTAGAGAGTTTACATGTTTTATGAACCCTTTGCCACACTGTCTTGGAATAAACCAAGATGGGGTTTACCCTTGTTTTTTTAACCATCCTTAATGTTTGTGCGAGGGCCTCAACAGGTTTAAACTGAGAAGTTTAAATTGAAGTGAGTTCAATCAGGACCCAGTCCATTTCAGGGTTAACTTCTACCCAATGTTTTGCAAGTTTAGCCATTTCAAATGAAATGCTGTAATATTCCAAGTTCGGAAGTGATAGACCTCCTGCTTTTTTAGGTTGGCAGAGTTTATCCAAATTAATTCTAGGCTTTTTTCCCTCCCGGAGAAAATGTTTTATCATGTCATTATATCTTTGCAATAATGGCGTTGGAATACATATAGGTATCATTCCAGTTAAGTAATTTATCTGTGGGACAATTACCATCTTTATTATGTTTACTTTCCCCCATAAAGTCAAACGTAACCTGCTCCAGTTTTCAAGGTTAGTTTTAATTTTGTTTAATAGTTTTTCCATGTTAGTAGTAATAATATCTTCAACTTCTGGGTTCAGTTCTACTCCCAAGTATTTCATGCCTTTTGGGAACCATTTAAAATTAAATTTTGCGAGAAGGTTAGGAGAGCAGGTTTGGGAAACAGGCATGGCTTCTGACTTGTGCCAGTTAATCTTGTAACCAGATACTTTTGAATATGCTTCAATAACTTCCAGCACTACTGATATAGAGCGAGTTGGTTCTTGACTCAGAAGTATGCACATCTTAAGAGAACTGACACTAAAATAATCTGCTAGAAGTTGGAAAACATTTCTGAGTCTATATCAACAAAAAAGAAAAATCAGATAGGTACATGCCTCAGGGAATCCTGAAATAAAACCCAGAATTGAAATAATGTCAGTAAAATTATCCATGGATATCTTTGATGAGATCAAGCATGCCTGTGGAATATTTATGCAGTTTATTTTAATATATCACAGTATAACAAACCTTAAGTTTAAGAAAAATTGTATCTACTACAACCTTCAGAGACATCTCAGTTTGTGCAAAGCTATGTCTCAATGTCGTCAAAATGATCCTTGTGCACAGAATGCACAGAGAATGAGAGGGAGGGCATCGTTTACTGTTTGAAAAGCAAAATGAGACACACCGTTGAAACAGAAAAGGCAATCTTGAACAGTAAAAATTGAAAGAAATATAAAGTAGAGTTGTTAAGCTAGCAGCACCAAGTCAAGTCAATGTCGTAAAAATGTACCTAGCTGAAAAATGGTACAAATCAGGACTGTTTCAATTCTTTTGGAAAAGTGATCATGCTGGAGGGGCTTCATTTTATCCTAATAGGTAAACTAACGAACACAAATAATGGTTAACCAGCTTTTCTCTGACGTGACACTGATGTCTCTTTTTAAATAATCAGCAAAACAACAGAAAACTCATTTTAAAGAATATGTTAATTTAACTTTCCACAGAGAGCTGACAGTGAAGAAATCTGTTCAAAACTAACACTGTTCAGCCCCATATACAACACTTCTCCATTTTGAATCACTCCTCTGGTTTCTGTGCTGTAGAATCATTGTAGTCCAGAAATCCAAAATAGAGCCGAGAAGTCCATCGTGTTCAGCAGTCGATCCCATAATGCTCAGTCTCACATAGAATACCTCAGGCCAAAGTGTCAGAAAGACGAGCTGTGATTGACTCCTGTCTTTGCAAGTTTATGACCCGTTAAGGACGTAGATGGGGTTGTTGAGTCACAGACAGAAGGTTCTGGCTGCCGTATGGCCTCGTCCAGTTCGTTGATGAAGTGCTTGAGGTCTTCTAGGCATCGTTCGCGGATTTCCCCAAGGTTCTCCCTGAGGGGAACCTGCAGCTGCTTCTCCAGATTGGGGTCTTTCGCCACCAGCATCTTAACCACCATGCCAAATGTCTCGCAGTCCTGGCGATACACCTGAAGTGGGATATGAGCGGAGAAGCATGATGTACACAAATAAATCAACAAACATAAACAGCAAAAGAGGAATCTGATGAAAGCTTTCCTTTCAAAAACACTCTAGTACGTAGCTTTACAACTTAAAAGGTGTTAACAGGCAAAGGTCAAAACCTTAAATAGAAAAGCTCTTACTTGAGTAGATGTAAAGTTGTTTCCTTCCTGGTCTACCTGACGCCTAGGTGTAAATATTCCAGCTTCACTGAGCCTGTGCTGATCATTCTGGTGTTAACACACATCATGTAGTGTCAAAAGATAAACACTTCTCCTCTCCACTTTAATAAGGGCCCTTTATATAGGACATGGTAGCCCAAAGGGCAATAAACCCCCACTTTAGGGGGGGCTCAGAGGCTTATAACAGGTGTTGGAGGGACAATGAGGAAGAAGCTCCGGTGTCCTGTTAGGAAGCTGTGATTTCACACCGAGCCTCAAATGTCTCATAAAACGGAGGGAGCCCGCTGCTTCACGAAAAACTGGTGGGATCCAAAAAAAACAGCCAAAATATTAGTTTGACTCATGATCCTTGATAATAGCTTACAGAAACTCCAAAGGGGAGAATACCATTCAGCTAATCTCATGGGAATCCCTTTTGTGTTGGGTTTCATTTTAAAGCTCCATGCATGGACAAGGTGGGTTCCCACACACAAGACTTTGAGACAATTTTTTACATTACATACATTTGCCAGCCAAATGCCTTGCGTGTGAACCTTTTGGTGTTGAATTTAAGTAGAACCTGGTTTCAAAATAAAAGTCATCACTGGGATGCAACAACACATTTGCCATCACATTGTTTTCTGTAGTTCCTCCACTATCATCATCAAATGAAGGCAAGAAATCAAAACTCAAACATCATACTTCATCACATGTGGGATCCTTTACTACGACAGTGTGTTTCTGTCTTCTGCAAAAATGACCAAGTCCTAGTTGACAGCCCTGAGGGACTCTGAGATGTTGTTCCCTTCTAAATCTGGTCATTTCCATCTGTCCCTCCACATTTCTTTCTACAGTCAGTCTTTCTCTGCCTTGTTTTGTCTTGCCTAACATCCCTTTGGTAATTTATGTTTATTCAAGTGGTAAAGAATTAATCCAAATGGAACTAGGACTAAATAAAGCATCTCCTTCGTGCTGCAGGGGATGCAAGGACACTTCCAATGACAATTGTAATGCGTGGATCTGTGTTTATCCATGTGTGTGTAAAATAAAGCTGGGCGAAAGCAAATTTGAGTCATTCACTGGATAGCAATGGTGGCATCTTTCCTGCAGGGCGTTCAATCTCGTACGCTTATTTATAGCTTTTAACCATATTCCTGGAAAACTAAGTGTAGTCAAAGAAGTAGGGGAGGATCCAAAATAAAGTTCTGCTGCCAAACAGAGTTTACGTACTTGTAACAACAAATGGTGACTTTCTTAAACCGTAGGTCTGAATTACTTCCACTCATATGTTAAAGCTCCATTAGAGATTTAAGGGAGTTCTTTGCATTTCTGGAACTCATTCAATGAAGAATAAACCATTGGAAATGTTTCAAATCATGTGACAACAGAAGATTGTTTTAATGTTATGAAATCAGAATCATGTCCACCAAACACCATCTGTAGTCAACATGCTTTCCTCAAAGCATGACCTGAATCCAACTATAAGATGAATGCATTCACAGGAAATGTTTGCTGAACACAAGAATACATACAGTGTTAGAAAGGAGTGCTTTGACGCAAAATAATCAAACACCTGACCCCCCCTTAGTCATATCAATATCACATGAGGATTCCTAGTATACAAGAACTGAACAAGTCAGACTAACAAACCTGTGAGGGGAACTTGCTCCTCTGCGCTGAATTTCTCATTTAACAGCTGATAACTAAAGGTCATTCATCAAAGGAAGTGTCCAATCAAGTGTGTGGACAACTACTATGAATACAGGGAAAGTTATTTCTAGACAACAATGTGCTGAAAACATTCTTCCTGTATTCAAACGCACTTCCTGAATCCCCTCCCTCATTATCCAATCAGGAAGGAAAGGACCGGTTCTTGACGTTGGGTGGGGTCGTTGGAGAAATATTTGTTAAAGGCTTTATATGTGATTTTTTGATCCAGCAGATGTCGCCCTTGAGCACCAGCATGAAACCAAAACAACTCGCGCTGCATTGTTGTGTTAGCATGCTAATGCTAGCGATCTTTATTACGCTCGTATCTTCACACTGCATGTAAATTTACCTGAAATGAGCGTGATCTAGAAACACAGTTAAGCAGTGAGTACAGTATGTTATTCTTCTTTTCTCTAGTCCCTCAATTAAACAATTTTTATTCGCCAGGGGAGGAGTCAGCCGCTGTCCAGGCGATGTAAACAAACAGAAAATATGACTCTGAAAACATCACAGACAGTGGGACTCGGGTATTACACCCATTGTAGACAGTCATTACTCACAGAGTTATTTTTAGAGGATATACTTGATTTCTATTATATTTAAGTGTGAAAAATCGCATATAAAGCCTTTAAACTCTCGCTCTAAGAAAAACCTGTTTAAACTTTATTTTTATAGCCAGTTTAAGCAGGATTAGGAATGAGTGAGGACGCCTGGCCGGAGAAAAGAACAAGAGTTGGGGCCTCAGTCCAGTTCTGCCATCTTTGTACCTAGAATAAAAAACAGGCTGGAACTGTCTTGCAGCCAAGTATATTTAGGTTTCCTGAACAAATGAAATAAAACTCCTTTTGTTTCACAGCCTGGGATTTTTTTGCGGAGGAGTAAAGCATCATACACTTTATTGCCTCTCATGCCTTGTCACTCAATACAACCAGTAGTATGTACTGCAGCCAAAGTCAACTCTGACAATGAGAGCGGGGTTCAGGTTGAATTTCAGCAGACCCACTTCACTTAGCTACACAAACACGCTGCGCCGCTGGTATAAACGCAGCCCGGCACGATGATGGAAAGTGCTGCTTTGGATGTATGGAAAAGTGTCGAGACGGTTGGTGAGGAGCTACCGGGCTGCAATGTGTTTGTGTCAGTGTGTACAGAACAAGATGGCTAGACCAGATTGGGTGCAGAAAGCCAAACATCTGGCCGACACTTGTCAAGAGGCTCCAAAACGAGCTGCCGACTGCAACAGAAACGTCGCTGCATGAGAAAGGGACTCTGTTGTTTTGGCTTGGAAAAAAAGAAAAGTCTAACTTGAGAGTGTTTGGGCTGTGTGTTCTGGGCATGATGGGAAATTGATACCAGCCCCAAAGACAAGTGCTTATACATATTACAAATGCCACTTTGGCGGGGAACCAAGTGTCACATGAAAGAGATTCTCAGAGGTTCTTATTAGACGGTATGCAAGGCTTAAAAAACAGAATTTAGGAAAAGATGCTGGGGCATAATTTTAGATTGAATTCCAAAGTTTCTGTTTGGATGTTTTATATTTCAAGAAGTGATGACAGCCTGGATATACAGCATGCCACAGAAAGTGAAACTTGACTCTCAGGACACATGGATGATTATTTAAGAATTACAATTCCTGAGAAAAAAAAGCTTAAACCTCAACAAAACAGAACCAATTAAACAAAAAGCTAAAGACCTTTCAAGACATTCGTGTGAAATCAAGGCCTTCAATGTCTTTATAACACCTGAGAATTTCCAGTAAAGTTTGCACAATAGAGCTACAATGTACGCAAGCGGACGCAGATGGGAGAGATAAAGACGTTGCTATAAAACAGGCCACAAGCTGCAGTGTCAGCAGCAGCATTATAACGGCGTATAGGCTCTGTGGCGCAGCTATATGCGAGGGCGCAGTGTGTGTGTGTGTGTGTGTGTGTATGTATGTGTGTGCTCCAGGGCAGAGCTGGCTCAGGTTTAACGTTCCCAGTAAAGCAGCGGTGGTGCTCACTGGTGCAGGAATGGGCCTTCATTAGATAACCGAGCTGGAGCGTCGAGCCTCGGGGCGGTGTGCGCTCTGTAAAGTGGTCTGCCTCCGAAATTTATAGCTAGCGCAGAGCTATAGCATGTCTGAACTTTACTTGTGTTTCTGCTTTCGTTTATGGGTTCTTGTACCATGTACCATTATCCTTGTGCTTTTACCCAGGCCTCTATGTGAGTGTGCATGTGTGTGGGTTTGACTCATCTTTTCATACACAGAGTTGTGGGATGTTAAGTTGGGTATAATGAGCAGCTATTTCAGTCAAAAGGGTAGATTAACAAGAGCCAGAGGAAAAACAAAACTATAAATGCAACCAGCTCGTCTCAGATGTGCGGTGGTAGTTCGCGAGAAGACGATATGTGGGTCATAAAAGGTGAGTTTCAGGATGTACCCTTTTGCAATGACGACTGGTGGACAGAGAAGTTCATTTCCTGCCTCGTTAGAAACCTCATAGGTTTTCTATTCCCGTAGTAATGCCTGGCCAGTAAAGTAAAGCTGCGTGTTAGTCAGAGAAGTCAGGGCCAAGATATATAAAGAACTGTTTCTCCAAGAGGGCAGTATGTGTCACACACAGTGGGTTGACATTTATAGAAAAGTTTGACAAACTATTAACTCGTAATGAGCAGATCGTAAATGTAGACATTTTGGAAGTGTGACTGCACATAATTAAATCTTTTCTATTTTCCCCCCTTTACTAATGCTTCTCAAAGAGGGTGCCAATGAATAAGTCTGGGTATGTTATCTACATGAGTTATATGTTGGCTGAGGCGCCAAAAATATGTGGAAAAAAAATGTCTAAAGCACGATTGGAGTGGATATTGTAAATCACAAAAAAAAAAAAAAAAAAAAAGGTTTTGAGTTTGATTAGAGGGATAATGTGTTATTATAGGCTTCTTTAAACTCCCTCTAGTTAGAAGGTTTTCAAGTTTCAGAGTTAGGTTATGATGAGGTGTTTTGGGTACCTTCTCTATCTCCTGAGCTTTGGATGCGATGGCCACGGCTCGCCGCTCGAGAAGGTTGTCCGCCGACGGCTTTTGCCTCTCCTCCGCAACCGGCGCCACCTGCAGCTCCTCTTTTTTTACGTCTGGTGGATGGCAGTCCTCCTAAACATGGAGAGGAGAGAATGGAGTCAAACATACTTTTTTAGAAAAGTGAGCAACAAACTGTGAGATCTTATAATGATTTCTAATACGTGACAATATGCGGGCGACTACATGGCACAGAGGGAGAGGATGGGAGAGGATCTAGGTCAGCATCTCAGCAACCACAGAGAGTGACCGACTGACTGTTTAACCTCACAGGAAAGATGTGTTTAATGAGGTGTACCAGAGGATGAAGCTTAGATACAGAGTAGCTGAAAAGCCACAGGATAGTCCATACATGTAAGGTGGTGAGGATTCATAGAAAAAATGATTAGGAATTTAAATTTCAGTGAGGAGATATGTTCTGATAGCTTAGAAAAATACATTTGTTTAGCTCGGTTTTACCCCTCATCTGTTATGTAAACTGTGTTCAGCTGTTTATTATATCTTCAGAATACGGAATATGTCTGTACAAGCCACGATGAACCATTAGGAGCATTCTTAATGGGCAGAAAGGAAACTTTAGTACCCATAAGTATTGCTGTTAAAGCCAAAAGAAAGAGCAAAGGGGGGGGAAACGGGGCCAACTCGGATCACTGCTCAATTGCTTTTGCTCATTTCCTGATACTATTAAGAGTTTGTAGTCCAGGACGCGGAACTGCCCAGCCATGACTGAAGTCCACTCATACATTAAGCGGACCAAATTCTTATTAAGTCTCTGGATGACCGAGGAGAGAAATTACAGGGGGATGGCGCATCACAAAGCAAAGAGTGTGGTCGAAAATAAAAAGCACAGCTCGTAAAGCATCATCTAATCATTACTGCTTCCAGTTCGCTCCCTGAGGCGATGAGTGGGTCAGGGAAGATTGTCTTTGTCTTCTTCAGCCCTGGAAATATATTCCTGTCCCAAGTCTTTTTTTTTTTTTTCCTCTTTCTTGGCACAGCACAACCTGGAACCTTTCCCTTTGTGATGTTATTTTTTGGGCCATTTTGCCTTCTACAATTCTACAATTCACTCAGTATATGCTTTTTTTATCCAAAGCGACGTACATCAGGGAGTAAGTGCAACACAAGTAAGGATCTAGACAGGAGGAAACAACGTCAGTTAATGCAAACGAAGAGCTTTAAGTCTGATCGGACACACAGGTGCTGACAGGCAGTGCACAGAGCAAAGCATTCTATTCTCTTATCAGCATCAAAACCATCCTACATATCTTCATTATCAAACACGTGTACATTTAGATAGGACAGCTGGAGGAGAGAGTTGGGATGACATGCGAACAAAGGCCCAAGGTCAGATTCCAACCCACAGCCGTTGCTATGAAAACTACAGCCTCCACATATGAGGTGCGCAACATAACCTATGGGCTATCCACCGCCTTAAGGGTCATCCCACTCTTAACAGAAAGCTTGGCTGATACATATTGTGCAAAACTGAAATAAATGACGGAGCTCCACCAACCTCCGGCAAAGTTACCGTTCACTACTACCTCCCGACGTCCCTGACTCTCAGCCACCACATAACAGTGAGTAATGTCTTTAACCTGCTCTTTTGTAAAGAGTCATTTGGTATGAATGTGCGCAAAACAAATAATGATTTACAGGTAGAGGCCAGAAGATATAAAAAGGTGCCTTAAAATGTACAGCCATGCTAGTAACTGTGTCAACTAACCACTACTTCTGGTTCCAATATTCAGCATCTTAGTTGAGCATGTCTGTAATTGTTTATTAGCTCTAAAACTGAAACGCAGGCGAGTCTGGCAGAATTTGTCATTACCAAGTGACGGGAAAAGTCCAATCCTGCTTCAGTAAAGAAAATTAAGTCACTAAAAACCGTTATGTGACAAGTGTCTAGATATCAAATGTTACGACATTTATTGAATTGTAGTCAGAATACCACACAGAAAGGCATCGCTTTCTCTTAAGCCGCCTTGTGAACACGGCTAAAAATATCAGAATGACTTGAAGACCTTTAAAATTCTAACAGGTTTTTTTTTTTGCCTGTGTATGGATGACTTTTGTTTGCAGCGATTATTTGAGGTGGTGAAAGGTTATCAAGCTGGACTTGTCAGGAATTTGATGGTTTGAGGAGGGACAAAAAAAACAAAACAAAAAAAAAAACAACCTGGTGACCTTTTCAGTCACAGGACGTGCTCTACCACCCGCTAGGCCACCGTGGCTCGCAGCCAGAGTCAGAGCTGCTCTTTTAGGGCCCCCTTGTTGCTCTCTTCCGTCTGGGATGGCTCCAGAAAGCCTGTGTGTGTGTTTGTTGAATCCCCCCCAACCCCCCCACAACAGGCAGTGGCCAGGGCCATGAGTGCAAAAGCTTTACTGGGGGCACAGCACAGGCCTTTCATCTTAGCCAAGGTTACGGGTTTGTGCCCCCAGAACAGAGGACAACAATGCACCACAGGCTACATCAAACACACGAAGAAAAAAGAAAGAAAGGCAGCCGTGTGTATGTGTGCATGTGTGCATGTGGAGGGGTGGGGCACTTAGTGAAACTTTCATCACAGCAGTTGATTAGATGGGTTGGGTGGTTCTTAAAAAAAAAAAAAAGCACATTAAGAGGACTTTGTTCTATCTTTTGTCTTGTAATTTCAGACACATAAAGCAAGTGCATGGCTTCAAAAAGACATCCAGGTGCCCACTTTAGCAAACAATTTCAACATAAATAACCTCAAGTAGGTTCTTTGAAAGATCTAAGGGCGGATAATGAGATGAATAAGACTCTAAAAGGGGGGACTGAAAAATGCAGCTGTTCAGGCTTTTAGAAAAAGGCACTTTAAAATAAATAATATCGTGAGGTGTTTTCTCAGTCCTGGACAATAACAGCAGTTACAAGAGAAGCAGCTGCACTGAGAGAATGTTTTTTTTTCTTCTGCAAGGAATAACTAAAATAATGCAGAAACTGTTGACTTCCTTATGATTGTTATACACTGTTATAGAGTATGAGACACAAAGTATTTACAAAAAAGGGCTCTCTAGGGACACCGGTGGCCGAATGGTGAGTTTGTGTGTCCTATGTACAGAGGCTGTGGTCCTCGAAGCAGACGGCCTTGGGTTGGAATCCGACCTGTGGCTCCTTTCCCGCATTTCTCTCTCTAGCCCCAATTTCTACCTCTAGCCACTGTCCCGTCTCTCAATAAAAAGGCACAAAAGAAAATCTCTCTTGTCCATCTAAAATAGTTTAGAAAAGACAAATGTATATGCAATGAAACATGAATATAATTTATGTATAGCCATTTTCACATATGCACTCCGGAAAATATCTAGATAATTTCGAGGAGGACTGCTCCGGAGATTCTCCCGACCTAGCCGTTCACATATGCTCCTCACAGCGTAGGGGCTGAAGCAACAGACTCCGCTACACGGCGCTATAATTATAATATTCGCTTTAATATCAATGCTATGTGTAATACAAAGGAATGACAACATCCACAAACGAGCGAGAACAACATACTGACGAACAGAAACATAATGCAGCCGTTTAATTCAACGGCGATCATAGCGGTCGCTTGCAGATACTTTATGCACCGTGCAGCAGTCACAGTATAGAAACGTCACTCCAATATGAATTTAAAATAAATAAATAAATGCATTTTTCAAAACGTCAGTTCTTCTGATGTTATGTTTCCCCAACACCTTTTTTTTTTTTAACTTTAACGAGGGCTAGCCATAGCTACAAACCAGAGAGCATTCATTCGAGTTCTCTTAGAGCTCCAGTATATTATAGGGTGTTTATTAGGGAGCAGGTCTGGAAACATACCTAATATTGATGCCTCGAGTCCATCATCATCAACAATGCCATTAAACTCATAAAATGGATGTTTTGTAGTTTGGATTGTGCCCAGTATTTTAAAGCCTTACATAATTAGTTCTGTGGTAATTTGAAAGTTAACTTGTCAAATCAAATGAGCACTTTCAGGTCACTAACGCTGGCATTTTTCCCGCCTCCACCATACATCTCCTTACAGAAATGTCGGTTGCTTGTCGGTACATCAAAGCTTATTCCTGTGACCCATATACCGGTACTACAAATCCATTTCTGACAGGCACAGCACCACTTAAACCTGCTGGACAGTCACAGCTGCACCAAACACACCAAGTCCTACTCTTCAGCAGGAAATAAAAAAGGAATTGATTGTTCTTTGTAAGCCGTCTAAACACATCCAAATGAGATCCACGGGGACGCCTCCTCGTTTCGAGGCAAAGATCGAATGATAAAGCTTTGACTTAGCCACAGAGTTAGCCTCTTGACTTTCTGGGTGGCCACGGCCAGACGCACTGCGCCTAATCACATCTGATTCTATTTACACTCCTCTGCGGAGTCGGGAGATGGAGGGGAAATCAGCAGAACAAGCTCTCATTTGCAAAACAGACAGAAGGGATCTACGTTCTGAATGTCGTTCAAACATTTAGTGCATCTTTTTTTTAAAGAAAGAAAGAAAAGGAGAGCACTTTAAGGAGGCACAGCGCGTTCTTTCATCGACATTTGAGCTCTTTTACACCATTACGAGTCCTTGTGATTGAAGTCTGCTTACAACACCGGTAAACAAAGCGCAGGCCTGATGGCTTTTATGCTCTGCGTGAGGGCCACTTTAAAAGCCATTAACATACTTCAATGGGACGAAACACTTATTAAAAAGGATGGGATTTAAGAAGTTCCAGATGCATCCAGCTGCACAGTGACAGAGAAGGAGTCTGTAATATACATCCAGGACTAAACTGTTGTGCTTTTAAATTAGAAAAACTAAAAAGTGTAATGTTGAAAAGCATAAATACACTTGAGGAAAGGGAACATATTGTGATAATTACTGAACATTGTTCTTCATAAACTTGAGCTCACCTTGATCGAGGAGGCGCTGTGTGGGGAGCCTTCTCTTGACAGGCCTGGGATTTTTTCTGGAATGAGAAAAGGGACAAAAAAAATGTTTTTTTAAGTAAGCCTTGAGTGAGGAGTGAAATTAAATCAGAGAAAAAAATTGGTTTAAGATTGAGCAAAATGATCAACTTGAGAAGGCAGGAGGTTGACAATCAATGGGAAAAAAAAGTCAATTAATGCGTCTGGGAATTAAGTAAGGGCTTGTGTTAATTGGGAAGTTTGGTTCCAAAAACCCAGACAGGTACCTCGACTTGAACATCTGGAACAATCCAGAAACAGATGGTTCTCAATCCGGCTCCGAAGGTTACATTTGTCTTTTGTACGGACTCCCACTCATCAATCGAACACCACCTCTCTAACTTTCCATTTATACCTCCACTTTTCTTCAGCGGTTTCTTAGTTTTTGTAAGCTGACCAACCGAGTCTACCAAAGAAAAAAAAAAAAAGGGGCTCTCCGAGCACCTCGCTATGAAACAAAAACACCTCGATGGCTTCAGGAATATCCATCAGACATCCTATACCCTCTTCCACGTTGGTCCACACACGACCTGGTGGCATTTTTATGAGGCCTGACAAAGTGGCAGACGGATCGGTGGGAGGGGAGGCTGGCCTGCTGGACATATTAGAAACACTCCCTGTCTCTATCAGGTTACCCGGACTGGGAATAGGTTCGGTTTAACGATTGTAACCTTTTGCATGTTCTGGAAACAAACCCTCCGCACATCTTCTCGTCTTGCTGTCATTCATTTGTTTTGGAGAATCAATCAGCTGAGCGACAGTGTGATGAAGGGGTAGAGATGTAGATGTCGTCGTAAAAACGGAGTGTAATGAAACATCAACGCAAGTAAACTTTACTCACCAGCCATCTTGCTTTGGGAAAACGTCTCTTCAAACCCTGCAAGAAAAACAAAACCATACAGTCACTTACAGTGTAGATTTAAAAAAAAAAAAAAAGCATTCTTATCTTACAGCAAGCACATCTAGCCTAATCAATTAGTTTCACTCAAATGTGATGGATGATGTTTTGATTGTAGCAACATGACTGCCTCACATCAGCACAAACCCCATGCTGTTGTTTTGGGCCACTCGAGTTAAAAGCACCAATAAGAGTGGAGATGAAAAGAACTGCGGGCCGCACCCAAGATGCTCACAGACCCAAGTCTGCTCCAAAACTCCAGAGCTGGACATCTACAAATGTATGGTTTATAAATAAGGAAATACTTTGGCACATTTAGTTGCTGTTTTAAGATTTGCTGTAGGCCTTTTGTAATTCACATTTTTAAAAACTAGGGTTGAGAAGTCTACATTAAGCAAATTAATGAAAATGAAAACACTAATCTTAAAAAGGGAATAAAATCCCAGGTAGCATTTGAGCTATATACTCCACATGCTGCAGCTGCAAATGATCTTTGCCTTCTATTTTCTGTGTTTGCAGCTCTGAACTGAATTAAAAAGGAGCTTTTTCTGACAAGACAAGAAGCCCAGGAAAGTGTGACTGCACCTCCACAACAGATGACACATTTGTTTTCTATATGACAGGGACTCATTACAGCACAGCCAGCACTGGGTGCTAGCTCAAACTAAATGTGATTTCCAGAGACCTGGATGACAGATTTTCTCTTGTGTCAAAAAGCACAGGGTGCATGTGTTGTGTTCTATTATTCTCACTGTTGACAACATTCAACTTCATCCTGTCTGATTTCAAACATCTACAGGTTTGATAATCTATTCTTCGTGCTTCTACTTCTGCTTTCCACAGATGTCAGCCGCTGACATTTTCCTGACATGACAGGGGTGCGAGGAGACGTGCGAGGAATGGATATGAGCTTATTGTAACCCATGTCAAGGCTCGCTCTCACAGCTCAATGTACAGACCTAAAGCGTCGTGGCCACTCTGCTGAGCAAAGAGCGCCCCCCAGAGGTGCTCAGGAACTCCTGCATGACCCTCGGCGCCGTCCACACCTGAAATTCAGCCAGACAGATCATCAGTTATTGAAAAAAATGGGAGGAGAGTTTAGAGGTCTTAACAATTAATTTTCATTTTGGGGTATATCGTCCTGAATTTAAATCTTGTACTCTAAAGCAAGCCCTGATTATTTTTTTTGATGGAGCAATGCCAGTTCTGTATGAGCAAGTTGTATCTGCCTGTTCTGTCTTTGATTCCATCTGTACATTTCAGGATGTGCCAACTGCAAAGATTTGCCAATGAGTAGCATTAAAATCTCCTTCTATCAGGCTGGAGACTAAAATGTTCCTTTTCAAAAGCTCCACAGTGCACCATGGGAAGGCTCTCTAAGATCTACATACTCTTGCCTTGCTGTGAGGGGAATGGAAGGCCCTTGGCTCTGTCGGGTGAGTATCCTCGGCTGCTGACGCTGGAACCCGAGCGGCTGTGCGGGGAGCGGGGCACATCGCGGCGCACAGGGGATCGCTCTCTGAGAGGAGGGAAGGGGGCGGCTTTTCTCCTGAACAGGTCTCTGTCCTCCCTGGAAGAAAAAAAAAAAAACACACACACAGAGGGAATGCAGAGACATGTCATGATCTGAAGATGTCCAAACAAAGCAGTGTTTGCTGTTTCTGAGAATCAAAGGACACTTGGAGGATTCAAATAGTGGATCCCGTGAGTACTTCATTTTCACTTTTAACACACTTCCTCCCCTCACGTCTGCAGTATCGATGGCTGCAATGAGTCAAACTTGATTTGTCCATGACTCGTCTCATGCAGTGACCGCGCGTGCATTCCCTCTTACCCTCTGTCCAGGTTGAGGATGGCTTGCACTAAGGTGTCCTCTCCACTCTCGGGTAGCGATCTGGCAGCCGGATAAACGCCTTGGCTCCGCACGCTGTGAGGAGCAGGAGCGCGTGCACTAAAGAGGGAACAAAAAAAAAAACATGCAAAGTGTGCAGTCACTTGCAAATACAAAACACGTATAGAATGACACAGCAACACGTTTTATTTGGTCGACTAAAGGGTGTATCGTTTTTCAGTGTGTGCTTCGAGGTAACATGAGCAAGTCAGCTGTGTACAGCTTAGGTCTTTACCTCATACACAAATACCTGATGGCCCAACTCGCCACCATGTCTCCACTGACCTCCGCTTACACCAACTCATCCAATCAATAAAACTGGAACTGACACAGACTAAAATGTTTGGGATCCCCTGCAGTAACCTACCCAAAAGATTTTAAGAGCAGCAAGTTCCATGCAAAGTTGAGTCATCACATGTCACTTCACTGTTTGATCATGTTGAGTCAGAGGTTTGGCAGTGTGAAACAGCAAACGTGCATCCTGAAATCCTGATCCAAAAAAAAAAAAAAAGTCTCCTATCACAAATGCTCAATCTCAAATTTACGACACTGAAGCAAAAACGGTTTTTGTTTCTTGAAAATTATGACTTCCCCTAAAAATAGACATGAAATATTTTACAAAACAATGACATTCTTTTCAATCCGAACTTTGACTAACTGCAAGTTTTTGACCATTCTAACACAGAAAATATAAAAGAGCAGATTCTGTATCGCCTTTTGGGGGGAGGTGCTCACTTTGAGAAACGTCTTCCATGTCTTTGATAATCATTTTTTACATCTTAAAAGTTTTCACATTAGTGTTTTAATGTCACTCGATAAAATATGAAGCTGCATTTCTTTGATGACCAACACTACACACGCTTCTCACTTTGTTGTGGCTTTGCTCACTAAGAAACATGTGACATTATGTTTACTTAAACTGCTGAGTGAGACCAGAGAGAATACTGTAACACTTTCAAAAAAAAGTCCAGCCCTGAATTTGCAACTCATCCCTTATTCTAAATACAGAAAGTTCAGTGGGAATGAAATCTAAACTGAGGAGCCAGGCGACTAAATCATTGGAATAAGATGAGACAGGCCAGTTTGGGTCAGAGCAAACCATGATTTATGATATCTGCTAACATTTCAAACACATCCTCAAGGCCCACTCCAGCAAATACCCCCCTCCCCCCATACTGAACCAGAGGAGTACACCAGAGTACTTGTTCACAACATGACTGTAAAAAAAAAAAAAAAGGCTGCCCCCTTCTGTCGCTAACGATCACATCCAGTTTTCAGGAGTAATACTACATACATGGAACCATTTGACAAACTAGATTTGTAATTTGAGTTTGGCTCCTTTAAAGACAAAAAGCAGTTTACCCAAACTCCAAAGGCCGTCCTGTGTGGGGGTCCTCCCTGGGTACTCTGTAAGGATAGTCCTCCTATTCATAAAATAAAAAAATAAAAAAAAGGGTCAAAAATATGAATTAAAAATAGAATCCATTCAGGCAACCTTTCGTCACAAAAACAGATAAATGATGAACTTTGTTACAAAACATCTGTCAAGTTTTCATCTTGAAATGTGTGTCCGATCTCCATTCATCTAAATCAGTGGTTCTCAACCGCCTGGAAAAATAAAACTCAGAAAGTCTATAAAGCGCATTTTAAACGTGTAAATAAATAAATCTGATTGGTTGAGAATATTATGAATTTGGGGTTACGACTTGTTATTAAGGAGATGGGTGGTGGGTCGTGAGGCTATACCAGTTGACAACCACTGAGCTAAATGTCTCTCCACAGTTTGCGTCACCATGTCGCTGCCTTCATTACTGTCACACTGAAGATGAATATTAAAAAACATGTGAATGTCAAGACATGCTCGCCAGAGTTAAAGAACATCCCTCAAGGAAAACTGTTATTTGTGACACTGAGAATGGAATGGAATGAGTCTTAAATTAAATGTATTTTTGAAAAATATATATATCTTTTGTTTGTGACCTGGGTTACAGCTTGAAAAAAAAAAAGAAAATAACTCAACCCTTTATCATATAACGTCCATGACCAAGAGGTTAATGAGATGCATTGTTTACTTTACACTATAGCACACTTTGTGGCTGGAAAATATTTCCTTACACAACAGCACCCTCTGCTGGTCGGTTATGAGAGCTGCTATTAAAGCAAAATTCTCACCATGCCTTGCAGTTAAAATAAATGTTTGCGTCAGTTCAAAATGGGAACATATTAAGCCACTGCTTGCCTTAAAAGCTGAATAAGTTTTTATATATATATATATATATATATATATATATATATATATATATTATTTTTTTTTTTTTAAACATATTTAAAGAGATAAAAAATGTTTTAGGGTTGTGTGTGCCCCATTTTTTGGCTGTTTTAAACATATTTAAAAACTCAGACGCATATGGACCAAACATGTTATTATATTTTCTGCAATAATTCACTACATTTTTTGTTTGTTTTTTTGTCTTTCCTTTAAAATTCATTCCTTGCAGTTTTCTCAATATGTTCTAAACACATTAACTGTGTGACTTTCATGCACTCACCCTTCTTGCAGGTGGAACAGCTCTGCGTTCAGCGGGGAAATGAATGCTGTCACCATGGTAGCCCCGCTGATCTTCGTGGTAACTTCTTGGGCCCCCGCCATTCGGGAAAAACCGCTGACCTCCTTCGTATTCATATCCACCCCGACCGTATTCCTCCTCCGGCCTGCCAAAAGGGCCCCTCCTTTCCCCCCCGCCAGCTGCTCGTGGGTATGGACCCTGGCAGGCAGGGAACATATCAGAATTTAAAATTAGCACTTCAGGTGGTGTATTTCTACATCACCTGATGTAGAAATACACCTCTTAAATACACACACACGCGCACAAACAGGACCCTGTGGACGTGCACTAATGGAGAGGTCTCAGAGTGAGGGGGCTGCCCACAGCGAGTTTTGGGGTTCGGTACCTTGCTCAAGGGTACCTCGGCAGTGCTCAGGAAGTGGACTGGCACCTCTACAGCTACCAGACCAATTTCCGCACTTGAACCGGCGACCCTCCGAGTCACCTACAGACTGAGCTACTTGCCGCCCCACAACTACAAGCAATTCCAGTTTTCTAGCCCCTGCAACATTAACTCTCTCCACTGCTCTACAGCTAACTGATAGAACCACAGTCGTGTGCTTTTACAATAATCTTTATTTTCACAAACAGGCATCCCGTGTCATTTGAATTAGGAGTGACGGAGGGCTAACCTTGAAGTCAAGAGTTAAAAAAACAAAACAAAAGAGAAGAAAGTAAACCATGAAGTCAGACTCACCGGTCTCTCGGTTAGAAAGCGCTCGTCGTACACCTCTCGTATACTCCTGTCTCTCCTGTACGTCACTGCAAGAGGCAAAGGGGCGTGCAGAAGGGTGATTTCACAAAATGAAGACAAAACAAGTGTTTCACATGTGTCAGTATAAAAAGATTAAAAAGAGAGCAATCCCAACAGACAAAAAAAAAAAAAAACACCCACATAAAAGCAGACATAGATTTAAAAAATTAAAAAATATATTTTGGAAAAGGAAAGTTGTAATCATTGACTTACTTTTTCACTCAAGGACTTCTGTAACCTTCTGACAAAAATCTGTGAAAAAAAAAAAAGACACGTGTTAATACTCCACTGTTGGGTTATGAAAGAAAACAACACATAATTGTTATTTTCTAAATAACTGAGAGGAAGAAGATGTTTATCTGACTTGAATACACTGAAAGGCGATAAGACACAGAGCACAGGTCACATGTGAGCTTTAACTAAGCCGGTCTCTTCCTGCAGACTGACCTGCACTTCAATGTCCACTACACAAACACACTGTTCAACACGACATTACCCAGCCGATAAAACACACACACACATTCACCATACCACGAATTCACTATCAAGCTATTTTCCATTTCAGAAAGGAGAGCTAGCATCGCTAATTAGCCAACCTTCCACAAATGCTGCAGAACACTCACAGGTTTGTTTTGATCCGACTAAAGGTTTGGTCATTTCTACTTCCGCCCAAAAACAACCTACAAACACTGACTGTGAAATCAAGCACCCGGCAGATGAAGGCGGGTTAAGTTAGACACTTTAAATACAACATATCCGACGTAAACAAGCAAAACAATCTCACCTTTCTCTTAACGTTTTGGTTAGCAGAGCCTTTTCCGCTGGCGACATGCAACACAGCTTTATGATTGGACGAGGGGGAGCGCGCGTCATCAGGAAGCGACTCAAAGGCATGTTTTGTTTCTTTTTACTTAATGTAAGCTTCTTGAAAGTGCAAGAAAACTCTGCATTAAAACCAATTTATTCAACGTTGGAAGCTGCGTCGGTAAGTTATTTCGCTTGTGCATTTCGGAGAAGCAAATATAGACGTGAATTAGTTCGCATGTTGCTCTTTCAAACACTCGCCGTGTGGATGAATGTGCTTTAAACAATCCTTTGCTTCCGTGTTTTAGTGTTTTTAGAAACGAGCAGTATGAGCGGGGGTTTGGCACCAAGCAAAAGCACTGTGTATGTGTCCAACCTGCCATTCTCCCTCACAAACAATGACCTACACAAGGTAAGTCAGTCCTTACTTCATTGTTAGTGTGTTTTCATGGATTCATTCACAATCTTGGATCATTTTTGTGGACATCTCTTTAAACTGTGTCAACCAGCTCACAGTGATTCTCCTTCTGGGTCTGTGAAGCTGTAACCTTACATGGGTGAAACATGTGAATTGTAGCAGATCTATGTTTGGATAGGAGCCAACCATATGTTGTCAACAACTGTTAGACCGAGAGTCTACATCTGTTAGGTACACAAATCAGTCTCATCTTTGTTGTTTTATAGTGATGCACCCAAATGGAAAGGGATTTGTGGGCTGTACCTTCTAGCAGAATATAAGCCACACTGTGCGATGAAAACTTTTGCCAATGATTGCAAGCGATTGTGAGATCTTGGTCAGCCATGTGTGTTTTCTGTGTTGTCTGACCATGGCTGAATAAATCCTAACAAGATCCACAGTCTGTTTCCGTTTTCATCATTGTTCATCTACTACAGAAATAACCCCCACTTAACACTAATGTTGACCGGGATTCATCGTTATCATAACATTTAACAAATGCAAATATTCAAATAACAGTGTTATGACACTATAGTCTACAAACTAAGGTCAATTCATCAGTGGAACATCTTTTTTTTTTGTGTTTCAGCTGTTCACCAAATATGGAAAAGTTGTAAAGTAAGTTGCTCTTATTCACTTCTTTCATCGGTGTGTCAGCTGTTAGAGAAGAGAGATAACCCACCCCCTTTTAAGTCTTCAAATATTTGCTTGTAGTAATAGAATTGTTTTTTTTTACGTTTCATTAAAAAAAAGTATTCATAACTGTAATGTGTACTCCAGGGTCACAATTGTAAAGGATAAAGATACACGCCAAAGCAAAGGAGTGGCATTTGTTCTCTTCCTAGACAGAGAATCAGCTCACAATTGTGCCAGAGCAGTAAACAACAAACAGGTGAGTCTGCTTCCCATTACAAGCCTGATTGTTCTGATGCATGTGTTGAGAACGGTGAACTGGAGCCTCAGAGCTCACCGATGTGTTTGTCTCCTAGTTGTTTGGCAGAACGGTGAAAGCGAGCATTGCCGTCGACAATGGGCGAGCTACTGAGTTTATAAGGAGAAGGAACTACACGGACAAGACGAAATGCTACGAATGCGGGGTCAGCGCACAGTGAATGCTTTTTGTCCCATTCGATTATCACATTTTATGAATCCTTTTATTCTGTCTTTTGCGTTGAGGAAATGTATCTATGTTTTACTGCTGCGTTATAAAGGATTCGGGTCATCTGAGCTATGCGTGCCCCAAAAATATCCTGGGAGAGAGAGAACCCCCAAAGAAGAAGGAAAAGAAAAAGAAGAAAAAGGCGGAGCAACCCGAGTATGTGTAAGTGTCTTAAAGCTGATATCATGAGATGTTGCACAGTAGAATGTTTCCGGATTGTAATTGCGACATGATTTCCCAAAACAGTGAAGAAGAAGAAGAAGAAAGTGAAGAAGAGGGAGAGGACCCAAAATTAGATAGTCTCAGCCAAGCTATAGCTTTTCAGGTTTGTGTCTATTACATATTAATAAAAAAATAAAAAAAAAACGGTGTCAACCGGGTAAAAGGAATAACTTAGAACTGTCATGTCTCCCTTCAGCAAGCCTGTATGGAGGAAGAGGAGGAGACACAGAAGAAGCAGACACGTTTGTCCCAAGAGGACGACGCTCATGCTTCGACATCTTCAGACTCTAAGAAACCGAGGATCAAAAAGAGCGCTTACTTCAGCGATGAGGAGGAGCTCAGTGACTGAAACTGATATACATTTGTTCATGACGTAAAGGTTTTTATCATATAGGTTGTACAGATAGGTCATGATTGTTTATAAATTCTGTCTTATTGTTCCTTCATCGATTCAGAGTGTATGTGTTGTTTTCATTGTCAGGCAATAAATCCCTATTTTTTAACAACAATCCAAATGTATTGTTGGTGTTAATTCAGATTCAGATAAAGGATTTTTTTTTTTAAAGGTTACTTACAACAAATGATTTGTTAAATTAAGCACGTGGTATAACACTATTTAAATCTGATGCTGGTAAATTATTTTTTGCAGTTGGATTACTCAACTGAACGTTTTATTATAAATGTCAAGTGTGGGTTATTCATACTATGTCCGACAAGACACAGAAGAAAGGCTCTGTAAACATGCATTTGCCTTGTTCGACTTCCATACTCTTGCAGTGACCTAGATGCTTGTGTGAAAATCCTGAATATTGCAAAAGCTTAAAGGCTGCAGTAAGGTTGGGGGGGGGGTTTGCTGCGGTAAATTCTAATCGTTGGGGGGATAAATGGAGAATCCATCTGCTTGTCTTTGATATGAAAACGATGGGAACCTCTGGCTGCTCGAGTCTGGAGCGTTCAGCATGTGAAATGAAAGACACGGTACGGTGGTTCGCTTGGAAAATATGGAGGTTTGATGCTCGCTTGCGTCAGTGGGCAAATAAAGAGAGGGATTCCCCGATGCTTTTTTTTTTTTTTCTTTCTTTTTTTTTTTTGCGCCGAGCTGTGGTCTAAAAACTGCAGCGGCATTTCTTCAATCAGTGAGCTCAAAGATGTTGGGAAATGAAAGGATTCCGAATCAGTGAGCTGCTATGAACCGTGCTTTGAACCATACGTGTTTTTATAATGAGCCTACTGTCGGCATCTATGGCATTTGTTGCATTTACGTGCACACGGAAATTGAATAAATATACACCTAATTATGAAAAAAAACTGGACAAAATGAGATTGCTGCCGTAGCTGCACTTCAATTGAGTGAAAATGATCTCAAATGCGCCGACTAGTGGTAAAAAAGGTATGCATCAAACGTATGTGTTGTTGCAAAATGTAACGAACAGGGGACGTGAATGTTCCCAATGTCTGCTTGAAATTGCACGGTCTTTTTAGTACACGGACAATTAGGACAATTTTTCTGTTAGCTGTTGTTTACTTATTATATGGAAATGAATCAGTAAAATATCAGCATTTAAAATAAAGTAATATTTTTCAGGGTCCGTTTTTCAAATAGGAGTTAAATCGCTAAATCAGCTGCAGTGTTTAATTATTATAACAACATTTATAGTTATTAATTAAGGATTAACAGAGGACTCGCGTAGTTACAAGTCATACGGAACATTTCATCATAAATAAATAATCTAACTCGCGTATTACATGCATAGTACACAAGTGTACGAGTTTATAACGGGGTGCATGAAGGCGGCATATATTCATCAAGAGGAATGTCAGCCTCGGGATGTTACCCGGGCGCTGATTGGCCTAGCCGAGTCACGTGACCATTTCCCAAGCGGAGTTTCCACGACAGCTGGAAGCCGAGCGGTACAGGCGCATCGCTTCTTTGCTGTGAAATATTGGAAATAACACGACTTCTGCTCGTCTCAGCACCTCCAGAGAAACCCAGGTCTGGCATGGGCGACAAGAGGAGTCCCACAAGGTAACGACTGAGTCAGTGTGTTCGAGATATTTGAAGCTAGGAGAGGAGAGGGGAGCGGACATCGACAAAACGCAAGGGGGGAAAAAAAAATGGGTTTTCTCCGTTTTCTCCACGGGCTCTCTCTCTCTCTCTCTCTCTCCCTCTCGCTCACTGCATGTGTGTGCGCGTGTTGGTGTGCGCGCGCGAGTGTTAAAACCTCATCGCCAATTACAGTGTCGGATCACAGAGCGCTTGCAGATGATTTCCTAAATCCTGTAGGCTTATCCAGATGTTTGCTATCGATAGCCTTCGTGGATGCGAGCCGAACTCGCTCTCTCTCGCCCCCATTTTCCCCCCTGTCTCTCTCTTCATCTCTTTTGTTAATTCTCTATTTGTCCCCCTCTCTTTTTTCTCCACATTTATTGTTTTAAAGGCCGAAGCGTCAACCGAAGCCCTCCGACGAGGGGTTCTGGGACTGCAGCGTGTGCACGTACAAGAACACGGCAGAAGCTTTTAAGTGCATGATGTGTGATGTCAGGAAGGGGACATCAACAAGGTAAGGCGATTGATATACATTACCTTTGGTTTCTTTGCATTAGCGGGTCCCAGAGGGGGGTCCTTGGGGGACTAAGGGACTGCCCTCCCCTCCCTCCCAGCGTGATGACAAACAGGTTAATGTTGCGACCACCCCCTTTTTAACAACTACCAGAAAATGGATTAAGAAAAAAGCACATTATTAGTTGACTCCAGTTAACACAGTCAGTTAACATTACGATTCAGATAGTAAAAGAAAACAAACACGGCATAGGCTTCTTCATATCCTGAAGTTTTGGAGATGATTGCAATCATTTGGCAAGAAATTGTGTGCCAAATACTTAATTTCCTCAAGCTCAACACCTTTACACCTCGACACCAATTACTCGAAAGAAAATCAAGTCCCAGTGAGTGGGATATTTGATTCATCTGAATGATTTGCTGTCAGTATTTCTCTTTTATTTGGTTGTTTATTGGACAAAATAAGCATAATGAAGGGCTCATATAAAACGTGGTAATAATGAGCTGTTTAGACAGCAGTTTATGGACTGACTAAGCTTCACATTGTGACAATAGTCAGCAGATAAATCAGTGAGGAAAGTAGAACTGTTACTACTCCGAGCAGTGCATTAGTCTCTAAGTTCTTGCCATGGGTCTTGACACTGCACTCTGTGAATTAAAGGTGGAGGGATGGCTTTCTCTTCCTTTAAAGCGCACACATCCATATTGTTGCCCTGGAGATTTTTTGTGTGCAACAGACAGGTACAGGCACTTAAGTGTACAAATACACAGCATGAACACGCTCTGTGCCCTCTGTGCTGTGGCTGATACTCGTCCTGACATTGGTGATTTGCTGCAGGAAGTCAGTGTTATTCCTGAGTGGCAGTCATTATCAGGATGAAAACACAACAAAGGAGGAAGGAGAGGAAAGAGAAGCCTTTAGCACTGGCTATAGGGTACTGTGTGTGTGTGTGTGTGTGTGTGTGTGTGTGTGTGTGTGTGTGTGTGTGTGTGTGTGTGTGTGTGTGTTGTTTTCCTCTTTAATGTACTGCCAATTATCCTCTTCTGCATTAGCACATCTTGATTTCACTACGACAGCAACAACAACACATCAGTGCAGTTGTAAGCTTTGATGCTTTTTTTTTAATTTTTTTTAAGAATTGGGGTATTTTTCATGTTGGTGCATGCACTTGTGCGCCTGAGTGTTTTTCTGTGTGTGTGTGTGTGTGTGTGTGTGTGTGTGTGTGTGTGTGTGTGTGTGTGTGTGTGTGTGTGTGTGTGTGTGTGTGGAGGGCTAGTTGTGAAAAGAGGTTGTCAGAGCAGCTGCCAGACAGACAGCCATAGCTCATTACTATGCAACAGCTTAATCAGCCCTGCTGTCATTACACACACACATACGCACACGCACACACTCACACACTTGCGTACAGATGCACTTGACATGCAAATTTTACACATGACTGCATGCATATTCGTACACAAACACATGTGCACATTCTTCATACGCACAGCCATGAATACACACTCGAGTGCACAAGTGCTGCTCACACCAACATTTGATTGAAAAGCTTCCTCACTGTTGTCATAGGGTCGGGATTGTTGCAATTGGGCGTTGATTGTCGAGAAGACACTTCAGGGACTCTGAATCTACGTCCGTAAAAAAAACAAGCGTCCAGCAGCTTTGCCAAGAAGCTGTCTGAATCCTCATGTCAACAAAGGCAGTGACACCCTTTTGTCTTCCCCATCTGGGTTTTTATTTTTTTTGGCAAGGACACAAGGACCCAGAACTCCTTGCTACACCTGAGATACTCCCTGGCAAATTTACTCCCAACAGAAGGTCTTATTTAATCTTAATAACCCGCTGTCCTGTCCTTCCAACTGCAGTGCTGCAAAAAAAATAACTGTAGCCTTGTCACACGCTCTCACAGAAGGCCAAACATAAACACGTACTCACGCCGCCACACGCAGGCTAATGCTGCAGCAAAATGGCCACACAGGTGGTCACAGCTGTTAACGACCGAACACGGCAGACAAGTGGATTTTCTCTCGGCGAGCAAAGCCGAAGGTGCTAAAGGGCAAACGACACGTGGAATATTAATGGAGGACACTGCAAATTCCCTCGCTGGTTACTAAACAAGCATGACTGAGCTATTACTGCGAGTAATGAATTAATGCCCAATGGTTAGAGGAAATGTCTCTAAGCCTGAAGGTCACAGGTTTGACTGCAAGCGTGGGTGGGTGATGCTCTGGCGTCAACGTTGTCTCTTGACATGATCTGAAAATCTCCAACTAACTGCATAGAAAGTCAGATTCCACTTGTCTTCTCTGCAGGTACATTTTTTTCTGCATATGTGTCCAAAGCATATTTCCATCGGGGGGGGGGACATTAATGTGTATGGTATCGCATAGCACTTAAGGTGAAGGTTGCAACAAACACTTTTGGAAAGGTGGCGAAAAGTAGTCGAGGTGATGTTTTTTTCCGCAGATCTTGCTGCCGAGATCCCTCTTAGTGATGAGATGATCTACTGCAGGGACGCAAAGCTGGCAACTGATTGAGAGCGCTGTGAGCTGGACTGGAGACAGGGACACATCAGCAGGATTGGACTCGCTTATCTGAGGAGGTGGAGTGAAATGAGAAAGAGAGACGCATTGACAAAGAAGGGGCTGGCTGCCTGGCTGATGTTTCACTAATTCCCTCAGCAGCATGGAAACTTTTTGCAGCAAATACAAGAGTATCCTGCACCTGTAGGGCAAAACTAGGAGTGAGTGCTGCAGCAAAACAGCCGTTTGTGCATTTCTAAATATGGGGAAAATATGCTGTCCTTCTAATGCAAGCTTCCTGCTAGCTTACAGTATTTAATTAAAGCTGTCTTAGAGGAGCTCTGGGATCACAACCTCATTACATTTCGCCTCTGCTAAATAACAGTGGAAGACATTTTATCCTGTTACCGGTCTTTTGGCTCAGGCCCAGTCTGTGATAGCTAACATGATGGTTTGAAATCAGAGGAAAACGCTTGGCTACTTTTACAAAGGCTGTTTGATAAGGTAAAGGTCACACGTTTGATTTATCAGCTAAAAGACACTAAAGGCCTCCCAGTGCACCCATTAGGCCTTGAGTGTCAGTTTAATGTTTGAAGGTGGAAGAAGAGGCTTGTTTAGAGACGTAACACTCCGGTCTGGGTTTTTTTTTTTTTTTTTTTTTTTTTTTGCAATAAAGGCTAAAAAATCTCATGTGAAGTGGTGTTGACAGACAGCTGTGAAACCCCAATCCAAACACCGCCCACAGCCAAATACTACTGGGTGTAATAGAGCAGTGTGTGTGTGTGTGTGTGTGTATGTGTGCGTGTGACCTTCTCTGGTGTCTCGCCTACACCTCCTGCATCTGTTCACTGAGCTGTGACAAGTCAAGCCCAGCAGGGAAACGCTTGCTGTGTGCATGTGCTGTGTGCAGGAGACTTTTTCAGCAGCGTTATTTCTACAGGTCAGGACAGTGAGCTCGATCGTGTCCCCCACTGTTATCTCTTTTTGTGTGGGTTTTTTTCTTCTCTTTCCGTCTCACCCTTCTTTCTCTTCTTTCTCCGTCTCCTGGAGGTGAACTAAAGCGAGGGCGTCTTTCGGTGACAGATTGACTGATGTTCAGGTCTTTGTCGGATCCGCCTAAACAAGCAGGAGCCACTCGGTGCAGGCTGGGAACCTGTCAGCGTTTCAGCTTTTCAGATGTTGTTTAATCATCCTCCGCACAAGCTCGCCCTCACAGTTCACGTACAGTGCACACGGCACACTTGAGTATTTGGACCACATGATACTGAGAGCCATACAGGAAAAATTGACTGCAATTGAGCCAACATGCATGTTACAAGCCTCTAGTGCAGGATTATAACATTTAGTATGGAGTGTATTTATGCATATATAGAAAATGAACACAAAAAATGAAGAGGGAAGGCAAGGCAAATATCTTTTTAACTATATCTTTATTATTTATTTAACCAAAGCTTCAACCGATGTCTGCCACCAGGTACAAATTTGAATGCCCACACTCAAAAAGGGCTTCACCGATTACAGAGTTTATACTGTTTGACGTTTTGAGTTGTAAAATAGTCTCTTTTTTTTTTTTTTTTTTTTTTTACAAGTTTAGTGTTTACTTACCGCTGAACCGATGTAGTTTCTACACAATGCAAGCGATGAGCTGAGGTTCGCTTCTGGAGCTCGCCGCACGTGCATGTAAGTGAGGGGCGTGGCTTTTGAGCGAGCACAGAGGGGAGATGGTCGTGTACTGTAGACAGGGCACTGAGGGAATGCTACTTTCAAAATCATGCTAGTTTTCAAAAAAAACTACCAACCTTGCCTTTAAATGACTTTATTTGGACTGGAGAAGTTGAAATGAATGGCCTCACAAAAATGTAAAAAGGAGTACTTAAAACGACTTCTGGTGGAGATATGAGGCGAAATGTTGCCTGCTCAAAGTTCTGTGTTAACAAAATGCAACTGCAGAACTTGCAATGAAAAAATGGAAGGGATTAATTATGTATCCTTTTTTGTCTTAATATTCTCTCAACATAGCTGCACTCATAAAACTGTGTGCAGCAACTGAGGCAAAGTAATATATAATGCACTGTATATTAAAATGCTGCCTGAAGAGAAATGCATCAATTTGAAGTGCACAGTGTTAAAGTGTAGTTAGCTGCTGTAATATCCCGCTGCCTGTGTGTACACATTAATAATCAAGAGTTGAACCCTTACATCTATAGATAAGCATTTTATTAGCTTCTTTAGTGTTATTTCCCCCATCTGATCACATTACATCTGCAACTAGCATGAAGCAACACATTACATTCTCACCCCAGAGTCTCATGTTTGTATTAAGTGTTTATGTGGGTGCACCTTTGTATTGTTCTGCAACACCTATGAGTCAAAATTTTGAGTTCACATGTTTACATTTTTAAAAAGTACTCATGAAACATATTCAGTATTTAGTGACCGATACCTTGGAGGTATGTGTTCTTCAGATTTGGAAAAGCGCTT